GGCTATTACTTTCTCATTTTCTTTGTGGGTAGATAAATGCTTGTTCACTGAATAGTTTCTTGTAAGTTTCATGGTCTTTATTTTTTTTTCTTCAATCTACACGAGTTATTTCAAAAGACATGTCTTCATTTTTTTCTTCCTCTTAAAATTTTTCTGCTATATTTTCAATTTCACTGACTGAATTTTTTACCTTTTGATCTCTGTTTTTTAATAATTTCTATTTTTGTTAAATGTCCTGTTCATGTCCTAAATTGTTTTACTCATTTCATTGTCTATCTGTATTGTCTTGTATCTGGGTTTTTTTGAGCATCACTTTTAATTTGTTCTCAAACATTTCATAGCTTTTCTGTGTTAGGTAGTTTTTGGAGATTACCATGTTTCTTTGGAAATACATCGTGTTTTTCTGCTTTTTATTTTCCTTGTGTCTCTAGGATTTGCACCTCAAGTATGACAGTTGGCCTCTTTCACTTTCGGGGGAGTAGCTTTTGTGAGCAGACTTGGGTATAGCTGGGCATAGGTTGTCCTTTTGGTAGGTTGTCCTGTGTCTTTACTGAGCACCCACGCCAGTCTCCACTTGACTTCCTCAGCTGTATTCCCTGTCCATGGTGTCTGGACCCTAAGTGTCTGGGATGTTAGTGGGCTCCCAAGGGTACCCATCACAGACACCCCCACCACCACCGAAGGCCAGCAGCAGTGGCGGCATGGCCTCTCAGAGTGGCAGCTGCATGGCCAGAGCAGGGACTGTGGAAGCGTGTCTTCAGCCCTGCAAAGTGAGTACCCCAGCCCCAGAGCTGCTGCAGTGAGGATGGCTTACCAGTCACCAGGGCAGGACGACATCAAGCTGTGCCTCTGTTCCTACAGTGGTATGATACCTAACATGTCACAGCTTGGGCTCTGGAAGTCGGTGGAAAAGTCGGGTTTGAGTTCCTTTTCTGAAGCAAGGTGGTCGCATGGGTTTCTAGGCTCTGGGACCTGTGACAGTCTCATGGGTAGAGCTGTGATCTGTGGTTTTGGGTAGTCACTGGTGCTCTCCTGCTTCCTTTTCCTTTCCAGATGGAGTCCTCTATAGCCAGAGAGCAGGTCATGGTTGCCCTGCACTCTGCTTCTCTCTATCCTACCATCCGCGCTGCCCTTGCTGAGTCTGTTCTGTTTTCTCAGTCACCATCCTCAAAACGCACTTGCCCCTGGGGTTACTGGCTGCCCTCAGACGGAGCGAGTTCAGGGCACCTCTTCAGCCATCTTGGATGCTCTTCACTGGCTTTTCTTCACTTCTGCAGGGAAAGTCAGTAGGTTGATACTGTGAGACAGCTGCCTGCCGTGGCACCCACCCCAGGGGCCACAGAGGTCCTGGTGCAAGGCTTTACTGTGGTCAAGTATAGCTTTTCACTGTCCTGTGCAGCTGTTCAGTGCTGGGGCAGCAGTGAGCCTCGGGACCCCAGCCCAGTGACTAAGGAAGAATTGTTGAATTCTAATTGAATTAGCCCTTTCTTCTCATGGATGACTGACACGGGGCAATTTCCAAGCCCCAAACATCTTACGTGCCACATTGCTTTTGTAAGTTCTTCTTTACCTAAGTAATTCTTGCTTATTGCTTAAAAATTAGGATATGCAAACATATATAAACACAGAAATGAATGATAATAGTTGTCTAAAAGTTCACCTGTACTTTCAGTACTACTCATGGCCATGAGTAGTATTGAAACAATTTCCTGTGTAAATTTTTTTATACTTTGGGTACTGGTATAAGTGGACAGATACATATGTGAGCACCTGAACACATGCTGTAGTGGTTGGTGAAGTTTATTTTTATACATGTGGAAATTTATATATATAATTGTGTACAAGTTGTACTAGAAATTGAATCCAAGGTTCTGCTAAATTTCCTGGGCTGGGCCTCAACCTGCACCCCCTGAGCCTCAGTCTCCAGAGTGCTGGGACTCTAGGCGTCTGTACCCACACCTATCTTGTGTGTAAACTTTTTCATCACAATGAGTTCACTATTCTTCTGTAGTAAGCTTTTACGTTCAACAGCATCAAACTTTTTCACTGGCCTGTAAGTGTGTGTGGGTGGGGGTGTGTCTTTCTTTGTCCCTCCTTAAAAGCTCAGTGGTATCTTACTGTGTGTTCACATCATAATTGATTGACAGATGTCTTGTTGACTTTTTCCATTTTTAAGTTCAAAAGATGTAGGGCAAGCCAGATAGCTCAGCAGATTAAAGCACCTGCTTAGGCAGATACAGGGCCTGGGGTTTGATCCCTGGCATGCTGTGCTCGCCCTGCCCTTGGGGTGTGCTGAGATGGCAATTGAGACTGGGTGTGGTGGCCTGGTCCTGTAATCCCAGCGCTTGGGCGCCTGAAAAACAGGAGGATCACTACAAGTCCAGTCTGTAGTGAGACCCTGGGGCCAGGGAGATGGCTCAGTGGAATAAGCACTTCCCTGGCAAGCACAAGGATCTGAATTCAATCCCTGGTTCCGCAAAAAAAAAAAAAAAAGAAAAGAAAAGAAAAGGAAATAAAAATGTAGTGAGACCCTGTAGACCCTGTACTAAATACATTAAAAAAAAAAAAAAAAAGATCAAATGATACAAGACTTGCCCAGGTATTATTAGGATTTTGGGGGGACTGGCTCAGACTGTTTTAGGGGCAGTTCTGGTAAGGCATGTGGAGCTGGGGATCAAACCACAGTCCCCTGCACCTGACTGGGTTTGCCCAAGCAGGCATGTTAAACAACTGAGCTAACCTGCAGGCCCCCTTGTCCAAGTATTTTAATGTGAAAAATTTTGACTCGGGGTTACATATTTTCCTTTTTTATCATTACTATTCCAGAAAATTTCTATGAATTTGTAATCTCACTGAAAGCATGTGAGTGGGTATTTCTCCACATTTTTGTCAACCATGGTAACACCTTTCATTCCTCACTATTCTGATAGGTCAAAATAGTATAATAACAATCTGCATTAAAAAACATAATTCCTGGGAGCCTGCCCATTAGATCCACTGTTTAAGCGCCTGCTTAAGCTCAGTATTCTGTGATTCGATTCCCCAGATCCTCACGCCTTACCAGACCTGCCCTTAAGGCATCCTGAGGGGACCAAAAAAAAAAAAAAAATCCTTCTCAAAAAATAAAAAACCTAATTCCTGACAGGTCATAATTCTTCTCTAATTTATTTTCTCTTTATATCCCTGGCACATTCGCTTTCTCCTTAGCAGTGTTTGGCTTGTTGGTTGGTTTCTGGAGACAGTCTCACGATGTCACTAGGCTGGACTTGAGCACACAGTGATGCTCCTGCCTCAGCCTCCCCAGAGCTGGGATCACAGGCTGTCTTGTTACTTCTTACAGATCTTCCTTACATGCTGTAATTTTTTTCTTTATCATTTCCATTTTATTTTTGCTGTTTTCTTTCACACTGTATAAAAAGAACAAACTTTTTCTTATTGTTGCTTACTCAGTTCTCTGTCCTCTAGCCTGAGATTGAACACTACATACGTATTGAAGACGAATTGAATTTTCAGTCTTAAATGTGAATGTTGTTTTTTGTTGGTGTTTTTTTTTTTTTGTTTTTGTTTTTTTGTTTTTTTGTTTTTTTGCGCCGAATGCCTTCAAGGCATGACTGGCTGTCTTGTGTTATGGGGATCGAACCACAGCAACCTGAGCCTGACTGCTTTGTTGAAGCAGCCACCTAAAGAACTGAGCTAAGGGGCAGGCCCCCGTTGTTTTATTTTTGACACGGGTTCTCACTATGCAGCTTGGACTCCTAGTGATCCTCCTCTGTCTCAGCCTCCCCGGCACTGGTATTACAGGTGTGCGCCACCACGCCCGGTTCCAGGGCCAGCATAGATGTGGTACTGAGGATCAAACTTGGGACCTTGCCCTTGCCAGACAGCTGCTTATGCCTGAGCTATCTACACAGCCCAATTTTCCTTTTTATAAGTAACTTGTGTTTTGAAATACTGCCCCAGCCAGGGCGATAGCTCAGTAGAATAAGAACTTAGCTGGCAAGCACAGGGTCCCAAGTTCAAACCCCAGTACTGCAAAAAAAAAAAAAAAAAAAAATACTGCCACAAGCTCAGTGTCATTTTAGAGTTATCTTCAGGAATATTTGACTACAAATTGATTAGGTAGTGTTTTGTTTTCATGAAATTCAATACTGTCTTTATACTTTTCAGGTTGGAAGGTTTGATTGCTCTTCTGCACCAGGCGTGTGTAGGGATCTCTATGTTTTCCAGCCCTGTCTAGCAGTATTTAAAGGACAAGGAACCAAAGAATATGAAATCCATCATGGTAAAAATGGGGAAAATGATGAGTCCATCATTTCCAAATAGAAATTTTCTAATTATGTTAGCTCGTTTTGTGTGTGCATTTGTTGTTAATAATTTTTGTTTTCATTTGTTAGTAACTAGAGAGCTGGCCAGAGTAAATTTTTAAATCCAAACATATCTGACTATAAAAAGTAGGCATATGGGGCTGGTGAGATGGCTCAGTGGTCTAAAGCACCTACTTAGAACAAGCTTAGCAAAGCACAGGGA